GGGGGCGGGAGCGCCAACCGCGTCCTCCTCCCCGGCGGGCGGGGCCTCCTCCTGGCCTCTTTTTTTTTTTTTTCCCTTCTGCAGTGCGTTTCACGTTGCTCATTACATTCTGTTTTTTCTCATCCCTTTACTTTATTTTATTTGATTTTTCTCCTGTGTAGATTACACTACCTGAAGAATCCATTTCACTTTATTCTTCTATTGCTTTTCGTTACTGTCTTGACAGCTTTCCATGAATCCCCATATTTTCAGCGTTCCTGTATCAATAGTTGTGTGTAAATTACGTTGTAGTTCCTAGGTGAGGATTTTTTTCCTGAAAATGATGCCAAACCATTGAGAATCTTCTTTAATTGGTTTTTCCTTTTAGAATAGCACCAAGTCTTTAATCTGTTCATGTGTTGCTTTTTTGATGGTGGGCACAGTGTATACAAACTGAAGATGTCAATACAGTGTATATAGAGCCTGAAACACATTTAATTTACTGATCCCTAGGAACAGCATGACTTTCTTCCCTTCTTTTTTTTTTTTTTTTTTTTTTTTTTTTTTAATGCCGTTAGGCCTGCGTATGCCCCCAGTCCCTTGCAAACAACCAAATATCTAAGAATAAATGATAAATTGCATAAATCGTAACCAGTAATTTTTAACAATAGATTTTTTAAAGGCTCAAATACCGTATGCGTGCTTTTAAATGTCTGTGAATTCTGAATGTACTTCTTGTAGGTTTTCTTAGTGATTTCTCCTCTGCTTCTTAGGCTATCTCCAATTTCACTTGTTTACACAATATTCTTCTTAGCTTCTTTCCTTTTTAAACAATAAACATAAAACAGTTTTTACTGTATAGACTTGTGGTTTATTTTTCTCTGCAGTGAATTTGTGCACACATAGTTTTAGATAGAGGTGGAGTTATGATTTATAACTTGCATGCACAAATTTGATCTCTGTACACTTCAACAGCGGGGTCTGCTGTCCAAGACATGAAATGTGGTTGTCAGCTGCAAAATGAATGTCAGAATGTAACCCCAGTGGCAACAAAGGCAGAAAAGATTACAAAAGGACTGGCTTTTCCTTTGAGCCTTTTTATGGCCCAGAACTCTTTCAAATAAATGGAGCTTTAGAAAACAAGGTATCTACTTGAAATTGCTGGTACGCACCCTTCCCTAAATCTTGGGAGTTAACTCATGTATTCCAAGCTACTAAGTCAGGATGGAAGCTCTCCTGATTGCTAAGCATCTTAACACTGTGGGCTGAAGTAGGCAGTAGAACTTTGGCCAGTTATACCATATTAGGTATTGGGTTTACTGGTATCATTTGTGCTGGGGAATTCCATATACTATTTTTGCCATTTCTAGAAAAAGAAAAGGAATTTCAAAGCACATTAAGGAGTTTCCTAAGTGTACTCGGCTTCCTTCAGCATTGTAACTTGTCTTCTTGCATCATAACTGGAGTTTTGAAAGGGAAATGCCCCAACCTTACACTTCTGGATGGAGTTCTAATCTGATATTTAGAAAAGTGCTCTTTCTCACTCCAAAACTGAGAACTGGAAAATGATTATTTCTAACTTACACCTATTCTTAGACATATACTGTGGGTTAAGCATATATTGTTCCTTCTTTTCATTTCCACTCTTGTGTTACAGAGCAAGCTTCAGCTGCAGCCATTAGACCTTTATCAAAAGGTCTTGCTCCTGGAAGGAAAGTAATAATAATTTCACGAATTATTTCAGAATTTCCATTGGCACTTCTTTATTCTACATGGGAAGGGAAGGAAAATGGAATGATCATGTCAAATACAACATCTGCCAGTTGAAAAAGTGGAAGATCAAAGCCTGGGGAAACCTTCGTACTGTAGCTATCCTAAGTTCTTATGCTAATACATAAGTTCTTTGCTTTGTAATATATTCTACAATGCCTGAAATTTTAAACTGCAACCTACAGTGGCTGAGAAATTAAAATATGCTTGGAATACTTGGATAGCTGTAGCATACTATGCCTGAATGTTCCAGTGCAAAATGTAATTGAGTAAAGAGCCAAAGTGAAAAATAAATGATCCAAGAGTTTCTATAACACTCTGTACCTATCTTTTTTTCCTCCTCTTCTTCTTCTTCTTTTTCTTTTCCTTTAATTTAACCTAATTTGTAGAAGAGCTCATAATGTTTTCTCCAGTGAGAACTGGAGCCTTATGTACCCAGCCATCTTCTCTTATCATAAGCTCCTAACACAGTGGTTGGGCATAATCTCATATGTAAAAAAAACATTATATGAAGCACTGATGGTTTTGAGACCTCCTACTCAAAACTGTAAATACGTTCCAGTTTCTAAGTAAGTGTAGAAAATGTAATGATAATAAAAGTAACAAATGAATATCCCATTTCCAATCCCAGGAATCTGTGTGCATTATACCTTTCCTCTGCTTGTGTGACGTATAAGGCAGAATGTGAATCTAATTTTCCTTGCTGTACAAGTCCAGGGAATTGACAGAAAAATGCCATTTAGTGTAAGAAGTTTGAAAGAAATAGAGAAAGAAAGAGGGAAGAAGCAGATACATAAAAATGCCAGTGCACTGTAAAGCTACAAAACCTTGATGCCGTTGTCCCTGGGAGGACATGAGATGTGTGATGGCTGCTCTCAAAGTAATGCTTCCTGTTTCATGATGCTGGCCTGTGATGTCAGAGACAGAGATGGTGATATGGCAGTAGAAGACGAACCTCCCCACCATTATTCCATTACATTTTGTTGCATGTGACAGGTGACAGCAGAAGGACAGATGACAGCAGCAACGGTGGGTCACCTCCACTGGTACAGATTTTTGTGGGCATGGCATACAGGCTCTTGTTTAACACTGGTGGAAATGTATGGTGATGGTGGCTGATGGTGGTGATTATGCTGAAAAACGGGAAATTATTACATACAATATGCTATTACATACAATAAGCTGTTGTGGTTTAACCTGGAAGGCAGCTACCACATAGCCTTTCATTCACTCCCCTCAGTCCCTCCCGAGTAGAATGAAAAAGAGAATTAGTAACACAATAGGACTCGCAGGCTGAGGTCAAAGTTATTTACCAAGAAGAGAAATCTGGAAACAAAAATGGATTTATAAATGCAGTCACTCACCACCTGCTGACTGATGCACAATAACAGCAGGACTGCCTGCTGATCAGTCCCCCATCAGCAGTGCAAGCTCTCAACTCCTGATGGATAGACAGACTGGATTGAACTCCCAGGTAGCAGCTGCTCCTCCCTCCAACTTCTCATTGCTTTACAGTGTTCTGCATGGTGTCCCTAATTCAGGTCTCAGGGTCTCCATTACTAGTTTACAACTAACCTTCTCCTCACTGTCAGCACTTCTGAGTCAGTCTCCAGTCTCATCACTAAGGGCCTCAACTCTCCGCACTTTAAGAAATAAGCATCAGGCAAAATCAGAATAAAAAATGCTTTCCAATTTTTGTTTTCACACAATAGGCAATCCTGCAACCTTACATTAACATTTCTGTCATGCTTGTTATCGCAGCCAAAACACAGTTACCTTCATCTTGCAGGCCAAAGTGCACTCTCTGGGGTATCTCACCCAGCCCTGTATTTCTTTCCTCATTTAACCTCCAGAGAATAAAAATTAAGAATGTAAAATCACTGGAATAATTCAGATCCACAGTTTGATGTAGAGCTTTTGCTTCTTGACTCGTGAGTGACCGTAAGAAAAACTCATTTAAAATTATTCACAGAGGTCATTTGATATTCCCATCTCTCATTTACCAGGACATGCTGTAGAGATGTAGTTCCTGTTACTTCTCAGAGATGGACATTTTCAGCTAAAAGAGTGTGAAATTTCTCAAAGACAGCTGTGCATCTGTTTACTCAGGCTGCTGTGACGCTGAGTTGTGACCTCATTCACTTTACTCTGTTTCAGTTTCTTGAAGCCCAGAATGTATCTGCTCCACCAGCATGAGCAACTAATGATGGCCTTGTATCCAGTGTGTGCAACAATGTTATCACAGACATGCCTGTCAGTGGTTCACACTGAAAGAAGAAAGCAGAATGCTATTGAAAAGGGAGGGGAGAATTTGAAGGTGGAAACTGAGTATTAGTCGGTTTTTATTTAATATGGATCTACCCGAGGAAGGGAAGCTCTTGAAATGGTGTGAGTTTCATTACGTCCCAGATTCTATTTTCACAACGAATTTTAATAAATCGCGATACAAAGACGTCTGGGTTTTAAGATCAAAAGACGGTGTACTACAATGGTAGCTCACGGGTCTCCTGACAAAGCAAGCCTTTCAGGATGCATTGGCAGTGCTCTAACAGGCTCGTCCGCCCTCAGGGAGAGGCTCGTTGGTGCTTTGCTCCCGTACAATACTAAAGCAGATGTAAAGAGACGTTGGCTTTCACCCCTCTGCCAGGGTGCCCACCTCTGCTTGCCGACACCGGGAGAGCAGCGGCGGGCCGAGCGGACGCCGACTGGGACGCTGTGTTCGCAAAGGGGAGAGGGAGCCGAGCCCGTGCCGCGGGGCTGGGTTGTGTTACTTGCTCAGCTTTCAAACGCATTTAAGCTGAGATCAGACACTGAAGCCAGTGCGGTATTTGCCCTAATCAGGAGAGGAGCTTCTGAAGTACACGGTTTCATGCCGGCTGTGTGGGTTTATCCAAACGGATACTTTTAATTTAGAAGATAAATAGAATGTTTCCCTCTTCCAGGGTCACCACGGCTCCACTCAGCGGAGTTTCTCGGATCTCCTTCCCTTATTTCTCCTCATTCTAACGAGTAACTCTTCCAGCTTGCGGCACCCACGTCCCCTCACGTCCCAGTAAGGAACTGGGCGCGCGGACGGTCAATTTCTGAAGGAAAAAGAGCTTTTTGGACCGACAAGAAACACAGCCGGAGCGGCGGCGGTCGGCAGGGCCAGCCAATCAGCACGCGCGGCGCTGCTATAAAGGGGGCGGCGGCGACGGCCGCGCCATTGTTCGTGGAGCTCCGCAGGAGGCGCCATGGCCGAGACCGCTCCTGTTGCTGCGCCCGATGTCGCCGCCGCTCCGACCCCGGCCAAGGCGGCCCCCGCCAAGAAGCCGAAGAAGGCGGCGGGCGGCGCCAAAGCCCGCAAGCCCGCGGGCCCCAGCGTCACCGAGCTGATCACCAAGGCCGTGTCCGCCTCCAAGGAGCGCAAGGGGCTCTCCCTCGCCGCGCTCAAGAAGGCGCTGGCCGCCGGTGGCTACGACGTGGAAAAAAGTAACAGCCGCATCAAGCTGGGGCTCAAGAGCCTCGTCAGCAAGGGCACCCTGGTGCAGACCAAGGGCACCGGCGCCTCCGGCTCGTTCCGCCTCAGCAAGAAGCCGGGAGAGGCGAAGGAGAAGGCTCCTAGGAAGAGAACGCCCGCGGCCAAGCCCAAGAAGGCAGCGCCCAAGAAGCCTGCCAGCGCAGCCAAGAAGCCCAAGAAGGCGGCAGCGGCGAAGAAGAGCCCCAAGAAAGCCATGAAGCCAGCTGCCGCTGCCACCAAGAAGGCAGCAAAGAGCCCCAAGAAAGCGACAAAGGCTGCCAAGCCCAAAAAGGCGGTGGCAGTCAAGAGCCCAGCCAAAACGAAGGCGGTGAAGCCCAAAGCTGCCAAGCCCAAGACGGCCAAACCGAAGGCAGCCAAAGCAAAGAAGGCGGCCCCCAAGAAAAAATAAATATCCTGAAAAAAAAATCCCTCTCCTCTGCTTGGCAGATAAAACCCAACGGCTCTTTTAAGAGCCACCCATAGTTTCTCAAAAAGAGCTGAAATGCTGTTTCTTACGGTTCTTTGTGTGTGCGGTTGGAGGCTCGCTTTTCCAGCCCGTCAGACCGTGGTGCAGATCTCCCTCCCTCCGTTTCCCCCGTGTCCCGGGCAGCTGTCCACGCAGCAGCTCACTGCACCACGTCCGAGCCGGCGCGCTGTGAGGAGCCTCACGGCGGCTGTACGGAACCGGAGCGAATCCGGAGGGTTTGTCAGAGTCCCAGCAGCGCTCGCCGCTCCGGCGCTGCGCCGTGGTTGGCGCGCTCTTTGCTCTTTGCTCTCCCCATCGCGGCGGATTTCGAAAAGCCCGCGCTGCGCGAACATTGGCTGCGGCTGGCGAGCTTCTGGGGTGCGCGGGGTTTCCGAGTTGCACAGGCGCTCCGTCTCTATTTTATCGGGCGGGAATTCAAGTTTTTCGCTCGGCGGAAGACGTGTATGAACTTAACTGGTGCGTGGTTGCCTCCTCTGCGTGGGCTTATTTTACTCCCTGTGCGATTAAGACCCCAAGAGTCTCTTTTCTCCCCTGGAAATCGTAGCGCGGGAGTTGCTCCTGGAACTCTCCGCATCGCTTCGGTGCTTAAGCTTTTGCCCTTAGAGCTGCAGGGCTCGGTTCTCGTACGGCCACCAGCGGAGGCCAGGAGGAGCTCGTGGTGCTCGGAGCACCCCTGCCTGCACCCAGCCTCACCCCTATGCGGGCGACTCGACCGTGTTTAGAGTGTTCCATGCTCTCAGCTGTGCCTGGGGGCTTGATCGGAGAGAAGGAAAAGAACGGGGCGGCTGCTTTTCTTCTATGCGTAGTGCCGTAACTACTGTTTCCTCAGCGGTGAGGAAGCAATTTCGCAGATCTGCTCAGCTCTCAATAAAACGGGTTGGTCTTAGCTCGTTAGCCCACATATCCGAAGTGACTGACCAACAGTGGGGGGCTGCAGTTTGGAGGAGAAATTGTTAGACCGGATTTGCAGAAATTTGTTTGCGGTTGTTTTTGTTTTTGTTCTTAAGTCTGAATGTCTGAAATTCCTGTACTAAAGGGGAATGAACTCAAAACAGCCTGTGCTTCTGAGATATCTTCCTCAACCGCTGCTGTTACGCTTCTTCTGCATGTCCTCCTAGCACGCAGTTTTGGTCCTTGTTGGGAACTATGACCTCTTCTTCTACGTAACATACAAACCCACACATGCATCTCTCCTTGTTTTACTTTTCCCCCGAGCTTTTTGGGCTGGCTCACTGTTCACTGACAGCCCCAAGTCCTGAGCTGAGATCCAGAGGTTGGGGTGGAGCTGCGCCTGACAGACTCACGCCTACCGTAAGTTGAAGTTGCTCGCTGTCACACCCACCAATTTTTTTAAGGGCTTTACCCCAGCTATTTGCACTTACCCAATGAGACTGGGTCAGTTGTGGTTTTCCATCTCTCTACACATGGTCAAAAAGAAGTGGATTTTGGCTGAGTATATTCAAACAACAGGTACAGTGCTGAGGCAAATGTGATGTTAATGGTCAGTTTATTACTTTGGATTGGAGCCTGAAAAAGCAAAAAAAACAAGCAGTTGCAGCAGGATAGACAAAACAGCATTACACACCCTGCTAATTGAATTGGAAAAAATGTTTTGGCCTGGGGGATGAGTTGGGCTAAATGGCAGTGGTTCTGTGTTGGTGTGCTGTCACCTATCATCTCTATTTGCCCAGAGGAGGGATTAGGGAGTTTCCTCAGGAAAAAAATAAATAAATAAATTGAGAAGAGGGAACGTGTCAAATGATAATTATTGATTTTTAAGAAAATCCAGTTCAAACATTTATTGAATTCAGATATCTTTGCATTAGATAAGTTTTAGAAGATTAAGGAGTGTTCGAACACCACTGGTGATGGAGCACGGCCTGCGTTTGGTAGCACCAGTCTAAGATACCTTCAGAGGAAAAGAGTCTGCAGCTGTGGATTCAGCTAAATGGCCTTCACAGTTCTTGGATGGAGGGAGCTGCCAAATAATCTAAAAGTTCCACAGCACAATAAAGGAACTGTGTGGCTATGCGGCAATATTGAGTGCATCAGCTGTATAGGAACCAGCAGATGGAGTACAAGGACAATAATATTAGATAAGTATATAGTAATCTATTAAATTGTGTATAAAAGGTAGAAATTACAGCAGAGTAGGTTGCATTTGCTTTGCTGATTTATTCAAGACAACTCAGAGTTGGGTCAGCACCACAGTGGACGACAACCAACTCATGCACCATGACCACTTACATAGTGATACAAAGGACTTAATGTCTACAAAAGTTTCCACTGGGTTCTTCAAGTTCTTAGAATCCATCATTCATAAAGTCCCAAACAAATCATTTCATCAGCACAATCTTCTTTCTTAGTCTCCATTTCTCAGTTTGGTTTCAGATGTTCGTCTTCAGGTGGTCATGCTCTGCACTCTGCTAGAAAACACAATGTTCCATTTAAAGACTTCACATCAAGTGAATTCATGCAAGCACACCTGAGAAAGTTAATTCTTCACCCTTTGTCTAACTGTTCTTCATCCTTTGTCTAGTTGTCTAGCTGTCTTTCTACTGATTAGCTTGAGTGCGTTTTAAACCAGCTGTGGAAGGGGTCTTGCAGGGGATGGAGCTGAGAACTTTTGCTTCATGTTCTGCATCAGTATATTCTTTATTTTGCTATATTCTGTGGCAATGTAAATTGCAAAATCATATGACTTAATTCAAAGAAGAAAACACTTATTCTGTTACGTTGTGTAAAGCTGAGCTGGACAGAACAGTATAAGTACTGCCTGAAAACTGTTGCGTGGGGGGTTGTTTTTTTGCTTATTTGTTGGTTTGTTTCTTTACCCAGTGGGAAACAGGGAGTGCAGTAGCAAAAAGCAAGAGCTACCTGAGAAAAATGAGCATGCATGCACCAGTGTAATACATTTGTGGCAATCACACCACTGCAGTTTCAGCCAGTATCGTGAAAAAAATTGTTTTCATTCTTCTTCCCTTGGCCTGTGCACTGCTGCTGTGGGGCTGTCAGATTATCTTACCTATGGGAACAGGTGCTGCACAACTCCCTCTTCCTCAAAAATAGATTGTCTTAAACCATTAAGTCCTTGCCAAAGGATTGCCATGTGAATCTCAGGGCCCCACATCAATTTCAGCAGTCCACACTGGCTTCCTAGCAGTTTTCTATTCTGGACACAAAGCAAGCAGATATCCTAACAAATAAATTAGGGGATACTCCTGTCATTTCAATTATCCAACTGCAAATTGTCAAGCAAAGGTTTGATTCTCTTGTTTGTGGTTACATGGAGATGGGACACATCTCACTGTGCTGTGTGACACCTTTATTGGACATCTGGGCATTCATTTGTTTTCTTTATTGTGTTAAGTTGCTTTGTGACACTGGGGAAATCAGGAAGAGATAAGCTCAGCTCTGCAGGAGCCAAGATGAGCCACGTGCTGAGATCATAGAATCCTTAAAGTTGGAAAAAATTTCTTAAGGTCATCTTGTTCACATCCCCTGTGATGAACAGGGACACCTACAGCTCAATCAGGTTGCTCAGATCCTGGTCCAGCCTGACCTTGAGGAGCAAACTATTCAGGACAGACTGAAAAGTGCTTATCCACTGGCTAAATAAATAAGTAATATTAAACAACCATCAAAACAACAGAGGGAATTACTGATTTTTGTTGTTTTCTTTTCTTAGAATGCTGATGATCTGCTTAGTTTCTAGTCCTTGGGAAAGTTTGCTTCACAGAATGTTTCCTTGCCCATGATGTCCTTGTCTCTGTCTTTTAGTTGTGTCCTTTTGTGAGAACCAATGAGCAGAAAGTTCCCCAGAGGGTTACTATCACAACCAGGGCTGCTGGAACAGGATTGCAACAGCCCTGGATGCTGGCATAGGGTTGTTGGAATAGGATTCCTACAAGACTCGATTCCAGGTCAGGACATCTCAGTTGCCATGGAATATCTATTATGTTTTTTGCAGATTTTATACAGGCTGTATGCTCAGATTAACAATGTCTGTTCTGAGATGAATGGAAGATAGCACAGATTCTTAGATTTCTACAGTGCCCCCACAGCTTGGACACTTCCTTGTGCTACAGACTCCAAGCAACGCGAATATTTCTGCCTGAAACACAGGATGCCACATTTTAGGAGCTTTAGGATCTCAAGCAAAAATAACATTTTGCCTTTTGTGAATAATTGTGACCTGGGAACTGGATTGGAATCAGGTTGATTTGGTTGATTCTGTGCAACTATTTCACACTGTGAGCTGAGTCGCTGGTAACCAAAGAGGAGTTGGTTTGTCAGTCAGCAAAGAATGGCCCCTGCTTAGTGAGGAGCCAGGCTGAGGCTGAAAACACAGGTAGCTAGATTTTTATGTAAAGACAGTTGCAACACTGACACAAAAAATCTTTCATGTTGATTTGGGAAAATTGGAATTGAGTTTTGATAAATGCTGAAATGATGATAGATTACACAAAACTCTGTAAAATATGTATATGCTGTTTTCACACATCTTCTGAGGTTGCGAGCAACCTGAGGTGAGTAAAGATGGGGAAAAAGAAAGAAGTCTTTGTGGTATCCCACTCTGAAGAGATGGAGAATAGATGCATACAATCCAAGATTAATTTTCCAGGCTCTCAGAAGGAAGGAGCTGAGTTGTGCAGGTGTTATGCATGGACAGGAAGGTGAGGGTAGTAGACCCTGTAGAGAACCCTGAAAGCAGAAGTGAGATCAAAACCAGTTTTGTGCTCAGCTTGAGTTCAGCTGCAGCCACTTGTCACCCAGACACCTCTGAATTAACAGGATTATGCAACAGCATTTCTTTGCAAAATATGTGCCACAAGTTTCTTTCTCACAGCCCAGATCACAATGCACCCAATTGAGAACTGAGAGGTGCCAGGTCTGTCTATGGGGGGCTCTGTCGATGGGAGATGTGTTCTTTACTTTGCTGGTGTTCTGCTGGTGTTCTGTCAGTGAA